CTCCCCCTTAATAGGAAAAAAAAAAAAAAAAAGACTGTCACAGAATGATTTCCATACGGTTTTAATGAACTAGGGTCATTTGATTCTGACATTTTTGGATTTACAGTAACTCCTCACTGTTGTTTTAGATTTCTTTCTTTCTTTTTTAAGATTGGAAGAACATGTTCTGCTAATCTTAATATAATGACATGAAGGCTTACTTCCCTTTAAACATCCCTAATATTAATTGATTATGAGCATCTATAATTTCTTCCTGTAGTTTGGAGCAGCACTCAAAACCTTCCACTGTGGACAACAGAACAAGCTAGTTTAAACTAAACTATCTTAAGCATTTTCACAAATAAGGACATCTCTAAAAGAAGGTTTTGTCAGATTTGTCTCACTAAATTTGTTCACAGAATTGTCCACACAGTGTGGTAGGTACAAACAAATACACACACACACACACACACACACGCACACACACACGCACACTCACACACACACACACACACACACACACACACAAAATTTAACATATGCTTTCTAGTGGGTACAAGTTATATATTTGCTATAGTGGTAAACTTAGACATACTGAAAAGCATTTTTATTTTTACTCAAAGCAACTCCCTGTTTTCTTTGTCTTCCTGTCTCAGATATCAGATGATGAAGAGCGGATGTCTGTTGGCAGTCGGGGCAGTTTGAGGGTTAGTATACTTGTGATGTCATTTGGATGATACAGTAAAACAAACAAACAAAACATTGGATATTTTATGCCCAGTGTTAACCACTCAAAATGATGGGTGGTAGTTAAGAGGTTATTAATTTGAAGGTTCAAAGGTTCAAATAATGGAAAGGAAAATTCTTGTGTTTGTTGTAATTTTTTATAATTTAACATTAGTCTCAGTATCAGAGTGGCTTTGACTTAATTCTAATGTTCTAACAATTAAATAAAAATACTTAATTGACAAATATTTCTGGCGTCAACCATGCGCAGAAAATTATAGTAAGCAAAAGTCAGTGAAATCAGTAAAAGAGCTTGTGTGGGTTTGCTTTTCTTTCACTAATTTTCCATCAATTTATTTTTACGTATGTAACTTGTCAAGTGTGTGATCAAAGTGTGTCTTTGCTCAAAGATGGGACGTGACATCTCCGTTCCCTCCTTCAGGACCGAGACGTTCCCTTTCAGTCAGTCATTCTCGATGTCACGTCGGTGACCGACGAATTGGGATTCCTACCAAAGCACCATGGATGCTGCCCCTTCCAGTGTCCTGTGCGAGCCTCCTGCACCCCTTTTTGGTGTAGGCCGGGGCTCGCAACAAGAAGACCAGTCACTGTTGTCGTAGCACTACCCACTCAGTGAGATTGGATAACACTGGGAAAACGTACCCGTACCACTTGGTACAGGAACGTTGCGGAAGCCCCATCCTTCCCGAAGGAGTTTTCGGAAGCACTTACGCATATGAACAACCGTTTAGGTGCATATGGAAGATTAGAGGTGATTATAACCCTCTTGGAAATGGCAGAAGTCTGCCGGGGAAACACGGGCTCTGAGGCTATACCGTGAACTTTATACATTTGGGATCCACTTAGGTCTCTACATATGAAACCCAGCCCTCTAAAGGTTCTCACGGATTCATTGAGTGAGGGCCTGGCACCGGACGTTCCGCCACGTCTGGCTGCCGAGGGGATGGAGGAGCTCGACAGAGTCTACAGTATGGACACTCTGGAGCAGTTTTAGCTAGCCGTCACTAAACCGGGACCTCTCAGTGCCTCTACCCATTTGAGGTGAGAACACAGGAGGATACCGGCTCCACATGAAGGCTATATAATCTAGGGAACGTGTTGGGGGTTGCCCAGCCCGTAGCTCTACAAATATCTGTCAGCGAGGCGCCACGAGCCAGCACCCAGCAGGATGCAACACTCTTAGTAGAGTGAGCTCACAACCTGAGCGGGCAGGGCACACCCTGTGCCTGATAAGCCAGGGTGATGGCATCCACAATCCAGTGGGCCATCCTCTGCTTAGAGATGGCTTTCCCCTTCTGCCGGCCTCCGTAACAGACAAAGAGCTGGTCTGAGGTCCTAAAGCTTTGTGTCTGGTCTACGTACCATCTCAAGGCTTGGACGGGACAAAGCAAAGCTAGGGCAGGGTCTGCCTCCTCCAGAATCAGTGCTTGCAGGTTCACTACCTGATCCCTGAAGGGGGTAGTAGAAACCTTGGGCACATAGCCGGGCCGGGGCCTCAGGATTACCTGGGAGTCAGCCGGCCCAAACTCTAGGCACGAACCGTCGACCGAAAATGCGTGTAGGTCCCCTACCCTCTTGATGGAGGCCAGTGCAAGCAGGAGCAGAGTTTTCATTGATAGAAACTTCAGCTCAACT